GGGCCTCTTATTGTCTGACCTCCTTGCCCAATCGCGCCGTTGGCGTCTCAGATGGCGGCTTCGAACTTGTGCGGCGTAGACATCGGGATGTGGCCGATAATTAGTCAGATTAAATGAATTTGGAGTCTTTCTTTTCCGTGAGAGATTTCCACCATAATTACTGCGGTTTAATTAAAAGTTCCCGTCAATCTGCCAGATTGCCGACTGGGCCGAATAATGGACGAAGCCGACGAAATGAAACCTTAATCCAGCGTCAACATTAATATCTGATGCCTGCAAAGACAAACCTCTTTTTTAGGGTTTTAGAATCTCTAATAGAGCACTATTATATCTTTTAAAAACTCATTATGGGATCTACAGGAATACTGCAAGCGGGATCCTTAGAGGTTGCTGCAGTATTCTGTACCACAATGAATCTGGAGAGGAGAGGTCCCCATCTGGGAGGTGGCATGCAATTAGAGTACACTGGATTAGTTTCTTTTTAAAGTTATTGAAACACAATGAGAGTACAGAACGCTTCTTTTCCCACTGTTCAACTCTTCAAACTAATCATCTGCATTCTTTGGAAGTGTCTTTTTTTCCCTTCTAAGCTCCATCTATCACATGCACTAAGCGTTAAAAGCCTCTATTTCAAACAGGAGGGTTGAAGACACGTTACAGGTCACAATTTGAGAGGAATTAGCAAAACACACGCCACAGAAAGCCCTCAACCACGCTCTCATTAATGTAAGTGCTGACCTGGGAATTCACAAACTTCACCCGAGAAACTTCCCCCGACATGCGCGCTAATAATGAACCTGCGTGGAAACGTTATTAGCGGAATTAAATGCCATTGCTCATGACAATGAGGTTGTGTGGATAAATGTGGATGAACATAATATTTTGAGCGAGTGTGAAGGAAACCTGATTTTTCTCAGTGAAAATATCATCTAGAGAAGAGGGTTTTCAAACAAGCGTCGCTCCCTGAAATCCTCAGAGGAAAAAGTGTGCAAAACAGTTCACATTTACAGAATTTGACAAAGCCGAGCGTCCTGTGCGTCCTTTTCTCGGTGGAGTCAGCAAACATTCTGATTCACTGACTCGCTCAGCCACGGCTGCAAAATCAACAGCACTATCTCCTCTGTGTGATTGTTCCTCGGCCAAATTCAAAGCAACTTACGATATTCATTTCCACACCGCAGGAAGAGATGATTACATTCATTGTGTTAGCTAGAAACGAAAGATCTAATGAAGACAGCGAACTGACGACTTTTGTTGCACAAAGAACTTTGGGCCTTTTATTGTCTGACCTCTCTTGCCCAATCGCGCCGTTGGCGTCTCAGATGGCCGCTTCGAGCTTCTGCAGCGCAGACATCGGGATGTGGCTGATAATTAGTCAGATGAAATGAATTTGGAGTCTTTCTTTTCCGTGAGAGATTTCCACCATAATTACTGCAGTTTAATTAAAAGTGCCCGTCAATCTGCCAGATTGCCGACTGGGCCGAATAATGGACGAAGACGACGAAATGAAACCTTAATCCAGCGTCAACGTTAATATCTGATGCCTGCAAAGACAAACCTCTTTTTTAGGGTTTTAGAATCTCTAATAGAGCACTATTATATCTTTTAAAAACTCATTATGGGATCTACAGGAATACTGCAAGTAGGATCCTTAGAGGTTGCTGCAGTATTCTGTACCACAATGAATCTGGAGAGGAGAGGTCCCCATCTGGGAGGTGGCATGCAATTAGAGTACACTGGATTAGTTTCTTTTTAAAGTTATTGAAACACAATGAGAGCACCAAACGCTTCTTTCCCCACTCTTCAACTCATCAAACTAATCATCTGCATTCTTTGGAAGTGTCTTTTTTTCCTTTCTAAGCTCCATCTATCACATGCACTAAGCGTTAAAAGCCTCTATTTCAAACAGGAGGGTTGAAGACACGTTACAGGTCACAATTTGAGAGGAATTAGCAAAACACACGCCACAGAAAGCCCTCAACCACGCTCTCATTAATGTAAGTGCTGACCTGGGAATTCACAAACTTCACCCAATAAACTTCCCCCGACACACACGCTAATAATGAACCTTCGTGGAAACTTTATTATTGGAATTAAATACCATTGCTCATGACCAGTGTTGGGGGTAACTCATTACAAGTAATGCGAGTTACATAATCAGATTTCTTTTTTCAAGTAACTAGTAAAGTAAAGCATTACTTTTTTAATTTACAAGAAAATATCTGAGTTACTTTTTCAAAAAAGTAATGCCAGTTACTTTGTTTTCCCATTTATTGACTGACAGCTCTCCTGTCCCCATATTGGGAGAAATCGGAAGTGCAGAGGAATTGTGTGCGCTGTGTGAACATGCTCATGACAATGAGGTTGTGTGGATAAATGTGGATGAACATAATATTTTTAGCGAGTGTGAAGGAAACTTGATTTTTCTCAATGAAAAGATCATCTAGAGAAGGGGGTTTTCAAACAAGGTTTGCTCCCTGAAATCCTCAGAGGAAAAAAAAAGTGTCCAAAGCACTTCACATTTACAGCATTTGGCATTAATACTGTCACACACACACACACACACACACACACACACAAAACTATATATATATATATATATATATATATTTTTTTTTTTTTTTTATTCTGTAGAAGAAAAATACACTTACAACTTAATACTAACACAATATAATGTAAGCTTTTAACTTTTTTTGTACATTGACAAATATAAATCCAATTTAATTCAGCAACAAAAATAGACAATCTTTATAATATCCTAAAACTTTACAGTTTGGAGATGAAATGCATGTTCTGGATAAACAAAGAGTGAAATGGAGCATAATGTGGATAGATTAGTTAGGGAAAACTAATTAGTTAGAAAAACTGTTAAACATATTAGAAAATTGCTTTATGATTTATGTGATTTTAATCATGAAAATGTGTTAATGCTTTTTAAATGGTATATGACATGTCACTTTGTGTGACCGAAGCTACAGATGGTCATATAAACACATCCCTTTTGTTTGTGTTTTTAGTTAGCAAGTTAACCATTTAGCCTAATAGCTTAGCATAGTGATAACTGGCTATTCTGTTCTTCCAGTATTTGCAAGATACAGCAACACATAATCAGCAATATTTAACATTAATATCAAGTAGCTATTAGCTGTTAACTATTAATTAACAAGAACATGTGATAGCACATTTTTGATTAGGCATTAGGGCTGGATTCCACAGAGGGACTGAATCTTAGTCATTATAGCATAAAAAAATGTGAAAATCCCTGATCTAAAGTATCTAAGCAATACCAAGCAAAGTATGTTCAAAAACAACATTTGAACATGACTTACAGTAGTACTTATTATTTTAGAAAAATAAAAAATAAAACTGAAACACAGTGTTGCATATTCTATCAAAATACTTAAAAGAAGAGGTGATTATGTGCATGTCTATATTTAAAAAAAAATGGTTCGAAAGAGTGATTGTGTACACTTACCCTTCTTATTCAACTCTCTCTATCTTTCTTTCTCTGATTTCGGATCATCTTTCTTTCATGAGCACCACTGAACCCACGGAAGGATGTTGGATTTGTGAAAATCAAAAGGCCTGTGATCCGTCCAGCTCTTCCATAGCCGCAAGTACATGCGACTTATGATTAAACGTGCAGAATATATTAAATTAAGCCATTCTGCCCCCCAAAAAGGAGAAATTAATGAGGCAGGTAGGAGAAATGCTATGATAATAAGCCGTGTTAAGATCCCCCCCCCGCAAAGATATGTTGAGAGGTAATCCAGACCCCTACATATGAAAGCATATTTAAGCCGAACCAAATTCAAATGATTTAAATGTAAAATAATCAGCAGGTAAGAATCTTATAAAGCAAAGAAGCAGAACTAACTACCTTGGCCCCTCTGTGGCTTCTTTTCATATTTCAGCTTTAATTTTTATTTCAGTTAACTTTCTCTTAAATACACACGCACACACACACACACATACACAAAAAGACAAGAAGCATCTCGGGTCACGCATGTAGCCATGGTTCCCCAAGAAAGAACGAGATGCTGCGTCCTCTAGCGGACACTTGGGGAAATGCCGCCAACAGGACCAGTGTCTGAAGCACGTGTGAAACAAATCCTATTGGCCCACGTAGCCCATGACATCTTATTAAGTATAAGAGGGCTCCTGCAGAACACGTCACCAACTTAGTTGTCTGAAGGAGTTCACATCTCCTTCAGACAACTAATGCCGGTTCAGACTACACGATTTTAGCCCGATTTTGCCACGATTTGCTTGACGTAGGGTGTCGTGGAGATTCGTAAATGACAATGGGCATCGGGACGCAAGATTCCATCGTTTCAGCTCGTGTAGTGTGTCATAGTGGACGACAACCGATTCCGCGTCTGCGATGCTTCACAACATCACGACAGAAAGACTAGCATGTTTAATTTTTTTTCCGTCATCCACGATGACACATTGGTGACGTTGACCAATAGCAGCACAGAAGCTCTTTCATACACAGGTTTCAAACATGGCGAAACGAAAGAGAGATGATGGTGCTGCTAGGTGGAATTATGAGATGGAGGAAAGGTTCAGAAAGGACAGAATAAAGAAAGAAAAATGCTGGCGAACTATAGCGGAAGCGCTTCAGCAATGTTTACACTCTTGTTTTCGGAAGTCAGTCGCTAGTTCCGCCTTCTCGATGACATCACACGCGTCGTTAAAGACAGCACGTGATGAATGGTCGGGAAGCAACGTGTAGTCTGACATGTTTCTTGTCCACGACACGACAAGATTTTAGGAGTCAAAATCGTGTAATCTGACACAGTGACTATCGTGACCGACAAAAATATCGTGTAGTCTGAACCCGGCATTACTGACCCCAAAATTTTGAACGATAGTGTTCTATCTAGTGTAAGATTTTGTCAAAAATGTCAAATATGACATATGTCATTTGTCTTAAAGATGATGTTATATAAATCTTTACTGCAAAGACAAAGTGAAACATAAAATCTAATGCTCACACTACCTGTACGGAGCTAATCAGGAGAATTTACCTCACAATCAGATTTGTTGGTGGGACCAACAGTTCCTCTGACCCTGTTCTCTATGTTGACAGCCCCGATGAATGTGTAACCATCTTGCAAAGGAAAGAACGGATCCGCTCGTTGCCCGAAGTTAAACCCAACAGAGCAGTTCTTCACCAGGATGTGAGGATACAGTGCACGACCAGCCAGTTCTTCTTTAGATACGTGAAATGCCACATCAAGCCACTTCCCGTTCTTTGAGAAAGCCATTTCCACCTGCTCATGACTGTCAAAGTCCTGTAAAAGACAAATATGAAACTGTTTATCATGTCAACTACTTTATTTAGGTAGTTAAATGTTTGTTATTTTGCTTTCCTTTCATTATTCTCTCAGTTCCAAAACCTAGTAAGCTGCCTACCTTGACAGAGGGTCCCATCCCAATGCTGTTCAATCAAATTAAAATTAGAGCATTTTATATATTTTTATTTTCAGATGAGCATCATATTGTTAGCGTAGCAACATGCTAATGCTAAACTCAATTAGAATCGATTTGTGCAACACCTGAAACTGCAGTCTATGTAGTCCGTTCCATATCAGTCACTTATAGGCATTTTATTTTATTTAAGATGACGCCACAAGGTGTTGTCACATTTACTGTTGATCAATGCATTTTGTACAAAAAGAAAGCAGTTAATGATAATACAAAAATAATAAACATCCAAAGCTATTCTGCCAGCTATTAAACAAACCAATCCTAAATAAGTGCTTTCCAAATAGCCTCTTTGTTTTATTCATCATTTTATAATATTAAAGTTTTATACAAAACTGGATGAGTAGATACTACTAGAATGAGTGCTTTGTATATTGAAGATCTTCAGTTTTGCTTTGCGTTACGAATCTCTGCCCACACAGAGATCACTGCCGAACCAAGAGGCTTACTATTGGTCAGCACTGTAAATTTGTGTTAAAGTTAATCAAACTTGAACCCAACACGAAATTTGCATAGTACAATTTCTTTTTCACTGTAAATCTATCAGGCAAAATTCTTCATTTAAATGATTTTGTTTGTGAAATTTCAAGTAGGTAAATGTGACTGCACCTTTATTTTGCAGTATACAGCAAAAAGTTGACCAGGTTTTGCAACAGAGCCACTTGTTGACAGATTCCATAATTTTGAAGAAGAAGAAAAAAATGAATAAAACTTAGAATAGCACTTACAATATAACATCCAATGACATCACTTTCACCAAATTTCTCTCCGTAATCTTCAAATTTGCAACAGGTAGACTTTTTCCCTGTTCCGCCATACCCATAAGAGACTGCCTCCTCTCCTGAAACAAAGTAATTCCCTACATAAGAACCCAGAAAGATCATTTCTATAACAAACCCTCGAAGTCTGTGAGTGTGCTTGTGATTCCTCACCAAGCTGTGTGCTGCAGGAATCCAGAGACCACCCGACTCTCACGACATGAGGGTCAGGCTCACTGCTGGGAAGATGCTTCACTGGTAGATATTCCAGAACCTCGAGGCATGCCCGGTTCAGACTACACGATTTTAGCCCGATTTTGCCACGATTTGCTTGACGTAGGGTGTCGTGGGGATTCGTAAACGACAATGGGCGTCAGGACGCAAGATTCCATCGTTTCAGCTCGTGTAGTGTGTTATAGTGGACGACAACCGATTCCACGTCTGCGATGCTTCACGACATCACAACAGAAAGACTAGCATGTTTAATTTTTTTCCTGTCGTCCACGACGAGTTCTGTCACATTGGTGACGTTGACCAATAGCAGTACAGAAGCTCTTTCATACACAGGTTTCAAACATGGCAAAACGAAAGAGAGATGATGGTGCTGTTAGGTGGAATTATGAGATGGCGGAAAGGTTCGTGGAGCTGTGGCAACAGTACTC